AATTTATCTTTACATGAATGCTTGTCTTTTCTCATGCTAGTCCAAAAGTTCTGTAAAGGTCCTATCATAAAAAGAGATATAAAGCATAAAGATAAAACTAGCACTATGTAATGTAGCTATAAAATAAGACTTACAAGGTAAATGTAAAGGCAAAAAGCACTAAAATATATCCAGCATCTACCCACGTTATTTGTAGATGTGTTTGGGTAAACACTATCATAAAAAGATTACCGAGAAAAGAATTCATCACCAAGGTGCCCTACGTATTTGTGGAGACACTGAGTGGTGAACATTTTATACCTACTTTTAGTAGAATGTGTACGGATAAGAGCAGTGTCTGAGGGAGGGTTGCAGCCTAACTTGGAGCCTACCTTAACTCAAGTAGGAATCTACTTTCACTTGGCAGACCAGACTCTAATTTAAGAATCTAATTTAAATGACAATATGTGCTTTGCATCAAGTTGCAAAGCTACCTCATTTCATAAGCATATGAGCAGTATATTTTCCTTCAGGGAAAGCCAGTTTGCTATCCTGGGTGACCACTTCAATCACAAAGTGAGTCTAGAATGAGTGACAGGTGACCTTGTTCAGTTTCCCTACAGAAGAACAGTAACTGTTACTCCTAAAATTGTGTGTGTAGTGAGTTTATCTACTCACTTGAATTTCAGCAGATTATCTGTATGCATACCACAGTGTGGGTAATGCTTATGAAATAACTGTTGTGGGGTGTTCATCAGAGAAGACTGCTCAGACATGGACTTAAAACAATAGAAAGTCTTCGTTAGCTGGCTCATGACTACACTAATAGGTATTGAGAATTCTAGTGAAGCCTGAGCCATTTTCAGGGTGAGCTTTTAGGTACAAAAATCATGTTCTGGGTTCACAAACTTCAATTTACAAAAACAGCCAGAAGAAGAACTAAGGAAGCTAAAAAGCAGCGTTAGTACATTTAGAAACTTTTCCAGAACTATCTCAAGTTTGATGGATTAGGACTTCATTTTATTTTTGGTAGATGGAGCTACCTACATGCTGAGTTTTACAGTCTGAATGGTACTCCCATCCATCATGAAGTCAGTTGTGCTGAGGTCTGGGTCCCTGTTATAATAACTAAACAACTTTTCTTCTCTTCTGGTTTCCTAGAGAGGTTTTCTGGGTTTGGGAGAGATCTGGTTTATAACTCTACTTTCCCCAACACAACCCAGATTAAAAATAGTACAGCATCCTCTGATGCCAGTGGAGAAAAGGTTGTCAAAACTGCAGGTAGGAGGCTGGTTTGCAGCTGTCAAAAGGTTTTTCTCTTGGAGAGAAGCTTTGTAATGTGAGAATCCATTCTTTCCAGCATGCTTTTGCTTACTTGTCTTCTATTTTACTATAGTCACTAGAATAGGTAAAACTTAAAAACTGTGAGTCCTGCACACTCTCCAGTTATTTAAGGTGTGATATTTTTGGAGAAAAGACACCCTTTGAGAAGGTACTACTATATCCTTGACAAAATTATGATCATATTGCCTGGCCATTTACGGAACACTGAGAATCTACAGGGAATTTTACACAAGTGATATCCAATTTTTACATTAACACTATAATGTAGAAGTTATAATATATATATATATGCCATAGATAGTAAAGATTAGGTTAATTTCAGTCAGTGCCTGAGGCTCAGTGTAAGGGAAGATCACCATGGTAACAGGAAATGGAATAGGTCAAAGAAATGAGGTGGCATTTTAATCAGAACCCAAAGAGAAGAAAGAAAAGCAATAATTGTTCTCATCAAAGGGAAGAGAAAGAGAAGCCTTGAAGTCCGCAGTACATAAAGACAGAGGAGTTCTGGGGCAGGAGTTACAGCATGCTGGAGCAGACCTGGGAGGAAGATTCGTGTCTCTCTGGACACTGCTAGCTCACCTGCATGACTGCCGTTTCTACACACTGAGTTATCCTTAGAGTAGTGTGGATAAAGTTGCTAGCATGATGGCACATGGATTGCTCATTAGAGATGGTACAAATCATACAGGAAGAAAAGAAGCAGGATACAGACATCACATGAAAACTCCTCTACTTGACTCTCACTAGTACGCTTAGTGATGACAAAGGCTGTCAACTGAGACAAGCAGTGAGTCTCGGTGCTAAGGTCTTTTAAGTCAGGAATTACTCTTGTGTGCTTTAGAGAAACCTGTGCCCAATGGAAAGATCAAGGCAAGTCCAGAGCCTCTTTTTCCTATGACTCTAAAGAAACCCCAAAGCTTCAGATCTGGGATACACATAGAATAAATGTCGCAAGGCAACACTTTTGCTAAGGAGCAATCATTAGCAGCATCTTTCTCATCCCAAATAGACTCCTCTTTAGGTGGTACTCAGCCTAAGAATATGAAAGCACATGTTGTCTCCAAGCTTTGCTTCTGTCTCAGTCACCCAGAATTCCTTTCTAGAGAGATTTCTAACTTCATAGCATGAAGAAGAGTCGCTGGAACTGGGTCAGACTACAATTTACATGTATCACCTTGTTACTGGACCTTGTGTAAACCATGGCCCCTGTGGAATGTCAGCCACACTTTCTGTTCCTGAGCTGTTTTGTGACAGTGCTCCTGGTGTCATGTGAACGAACACTAAACACCCTACATAAAGAATCAATGGCACAGCATGCACAGATACTGCCAAAGTCCACCTTGGTGAAACAATGAGTTTTTTTGGGGTCACTTACCTGAGTATGGTGAGGGATTACTTACATCAGTACAGGTAAGTGCTGACTTACACGAGTGTGGGTGAGAGGTTACTTCCAGGAGCAGAAGTGATTCAAAGACAGCCTCATCATTAACCTCCCCCCCCCCAAGCTCACAAAACCTGGAGCCCACTGCACAGCTTGCAGGTAGCTAAACAGGCACGGGCAGCCATGGTTCAAACAGTTCCCCTGTCCCAAGAGCAGGTTCCTGCTTCTGCTGTCACCAAACTGCTAGTCTGGCTACTCCAAACCAACTTTCCTTATTAATCTTCAGACTCTGATGCTTAGATCTACCTCCTTTCTGAAAAATTCTCAGTTGACTGTTTTCAGTATCCTCATGAAAATCCTTCAGGATCTTGCTAGAAAGCCTGTCTCTATTCACATATGGGAAGTCATGTCCCTCTGGCTAAGAAGAAACACAATCTGAGACTCAGAGTGGTGCTAAGTTTCTTATGCGGAGTCCTGTAGCCAACACTTTGGGCACAGTCATCCTATTGTTGTGTTCATAGCCACATTCTAATGGTGCCTATGAACATTTCTCAAATACCGTGGCTTCACACACCTTAATTTCTATCTACTGTCTGGCAATTGGAGTTATTTTCTTTCTTCACCTTCAGCCTTGACCACCTGTCTCCACCTCCTTAGGCACCAAGGCTAGATGACATCCTGGATAGAAGGGAGACTATTCAGTTTTTACAGGAACAAAAAAACCATGTCTGTATGTCTGTAGGTCTGTAGCTAAGCTTCTCACACACAGATACAGTAGAGTCTCCTGGATGAACAGGAGGAGCCTGCAGTAGAGAATATTTCACCAGGTATCTTTTCTGAAAAAGCCAGCCTTTTCTGAACAGCCTCTTCATAGAATGAAGCCAAAACTCCAGTCCTTTTAGTGCTGCCTGTTGGTATCAAAGGGTGAAGAAATGATCAAAAATTGTGTCATATCTCTAAATGACATTCTTTTTCATTTCTGTATTGTAATGACTAAGCGTATGTGTGACTCACAGGTTCTTTGGGGTTTTTTTATTATTTTATTATTGTGAAGGCAACAGAGGGCAAAAAGAAAATGAAGAGAAATTTAAGAATTACTCCTATATAAACACAGATGAGAATTTCTCTAATACCTTCTATATTCACCTACACTCAAAAGACAAAGGTTACTCAGCAAAGGAGGCCACTGCCCATGGTAGAGTCATGGAGGACCAGAGGGCTCACAGCTGGGGCTTTGGTTGCTAACAGCCTAGAAAGGAAGTCTAAATTGCCACTGTCTGTGATGCACTCACAGACTCCAGGGTGTCCTCATGAGAACAGGAACCAGAGAGCCATCATAGGCACAAGGTGCCCTAGTATAGCCCCATGAGTATCCTAAAGTATTCAGTGCACATTAAACCATGTGCTTAGAGGCACATGATTTAGTTTCAGACAGTGAGACTATTGTGAATTGAAAAGAATCATAGAACCTCCTCTTTTTTTCTGATGGCAGGTACAAAGTGAGACACCAGAGGCTCTGAACATGATGGTTTAAACTGATGAAACTAAAGAAACAGGCAGATGTTGTCAAGAACAAGGCAGGAGAATGGACAGGGGGCAAGCTTCCATCTGAATGAGAAGGAGGACAGTTCAGCAGTGTTCAGAGAACATGTCTGTGCAGAGGAAGCATCTTTATCAGAGCTAAGATTTCAGACTAGCTAAAAGTAGAAAAAGAAAAGAAATCATAAAACAGACAGGATAGCATTATTGAAACTCTTGAAACAATATCAAAACTATACTGAAAACATGTTTATATATAAACCATATACATAAATTATGTATACACACACTATATTTCCCAACATATTTCCCAAAGGCTATGGTCTCCTACTGTCCCATCATTTGGCTCCAGACCTGAGATCCCTTCTTCGAAGCTCAGTCTCTGATTCCTGAAGAGTTGGATCTAGAGGCAACAGTTCTGGAAAAATGTATTTGGAGGGACAGGACCTGTAGAACAGGATACACCTCTCAGAAAAATGTCTCACCTCATAGCTCTGTGCTGAATCTAACTATGTAGCAAGGTGTTTCTGAAACTTACTAGTTCAAATGACTCACTTTACAGCAGGTTTATTTTCTCTCACAATTATAAAATCACTTAAAAACAGACACCCACAAGTATTTATCTTGGCATCAGTTGACAGCAGAGCCATGTACAAATGAAGCAAACATCACCTCTGAATATGGACCTGGAATATAGAGGTGAGGCAGGGGTTGAGTTAGAAGGGAGCATTATGGTTTGCAACATCTGTCTTGGGTCCTACATGAAATGTTCAGTGGAGCCCTCAGCTGCCCCACAGCTTCCTGAACTTGTAGGTTTGTGCACAGAGAGCTGATGAATCTGCAGGGCTGTGTCTTGGCTGCTGGCACAAAAGTATACAGCTGAGTCTTCTGGCTCCAGGGCAGACATGTGAAGGAGTAAATGGGAGCTGTCCGGGCATTCAGGTAAGAAACGAATGGGCACAGTCGTGTTTTCAATCAGTTTTCTAACGTTGTACAAAAACATGAGCTCTGGAGGCTTCTTAGCATTCTGTTTGTACCAGTACATAGCATTATGTCCCAGATGTTGCTCACATTTCAAAGACTTCTTACTTGCTCTTCCCATAACCAGATATCTTGGTGTCTGGGTAATTTTAGTGTTTGTGAGTGCTGTGAGGAGAAAAGTATAAAATTCAGACACAACTCAGGAAAAAAGATGGTGGCTGCAGTAAAAGAAACTTGGAGCTAGGAGCTGGTTGAATCCAAGACTCACCTGCCCCCAGGAGACATAGGAAAACATAGAAGAGAACACTGCAGCTCATGGCGTAATCAAGTCCCAGGTAGGTATTGCATAGCTAAGATACTCTGGCTGAGAGCTGGCTTTATTCCTCACGGCCCTGATTGGTGGTTTTGTCTGTGATGTCACTATCCTTTTTGGCTTCTCCAGCAGCAAGGGATGTTTCTTTTCCCCCTTTAACTGTTACCTGAATTTACTGGGCTGGGAGGGAGAAGAATAAATGTTTAAAATTAAAAAAAAAAATGCCAAACCAACTCTGTAACCTTCAGGGATATTTCCAGAAGCGGTTCCCATGGTTGTCGCTACACACATTGTGTAGAAATTCCCCACCACCATCATCCAGGGCCCTCTCTACTTCAAAAGATCTCCTTTTTTATTTCTCCTTCCAAAGATCTCCTTCCTTTCCTGCTCAGTTTTAAGAAATAGCACCCCAAAAATGCTGCTTTGGTTAATGCCTAAGACTGATGGCCCAGCTTTGTGGAAGCAGCCTGATGACTAGATGATTTTGAATGTTTGTCTAGTCATCACTTGATGTGTTTAACGGTTTAACGATGGTGTTATCTAAGAGCCAGACACTGCTCAGGACACTAACAGGAGCATAAAATGTGTGGGAGAGGTGTGTGCATGTTGTTTAAGGAAAGGAGCTTCTCAGGCTCCCTGCACATCCGATGCTGGAGAGACATCATTTAGAAATCAATTAGAAACTGATGCTGGTGTTTTGAAATGTCTACAACCAAAACTTGCACCACATAAGTAGTCCAGGTGGGGGAGAGTACATCCTTTCCCATCCTCCCCTGGATCTTCTTCCCTATCCCCAGCTTCAGAGATATCACTAGACCACATCTCCACCCTGTGGCCAAAGTGGCCCATTTTCTTACCTTATAAGGAGTCGAATGGGTATTAACTGTGCAGCTCATATAAAGCTTATAGGCTAAATTGGTTTATTCAGTCTTTAGTGACTAAACAGCTAGGAGCTCACCCACATATTAGCAGGACAATTAAGTATATTCATAAATAACAACTGTAAAATAAAATTCTAATATATTTAAGGAAGTCATCTGTACTGTAGCTTTTAAATAATGTACAATACAGCATTCCTCACCTCTCATCTGTACAACCAAAGAAGCTGAAATGGAATGACCCCATTTCTGTTCATTTTTGAAATGTTAGAAATTGAACTAGTCTTATCGTGACTTCTCATACCCCTCCAAGTGAAACTAATTAGGGTAGCCCAACATGGTCACTTTTATTTCCTTGAAGACTATGTGTGTGCATTTGACTGCTTAGTTACTGGATATTTATTATCTTTATTAAACGTACTTTTATGGAAGTGCTTGGGTTTTTGTTTTTAGTCTAGGAAACATAAAGGTATAAATGAACACAATGAAATGCTGTACAACCCCTAAATAAATTGGAGTACTCACTTACTGTTGTGCTCATTTTGACAAATAATCATGTGCATAGTACTTGAAGACAAAAATAAATAAATTCAAAACAGCTAGAATTTGGGGCACAGAGAAGCACAAAGAATCCCTCAACAATATGAATAAAGAAATATTTTTGGGAGAACATTATTCAGTCTGTGGGTGCAGAAGATGGACTACCTGAAGGCAGAGTGGAGAATATTCTGGAAGGCTGGAGAGCTGAGAAGAGTTTTCAGCAGACCCTTGGGGATGGAGGACTACAGCATTCAGACCCCATCACACAGGAGAGACATTGGTAAGTACACTTTGATTTCTACAGAAAGTCTATGAGCTGGCAATAATAGCTACATGCTAGGATCACCTAGTGTGGAGAGCAATGCTGAACTTGACCCTTCAAAATGCTTCATTCAAATGCTAGGAGAAGACAGCACATCTAGAAGAAAGCGGCTAACTCAGAACATCCACACAGCATCACTAACAGCCGCGCACATTAGCTGCATTACAGCACGTCTTTCAGAATGGTTAGGTTTTCTCTTGGTGAGTATCACGCGCCTAGCCCATACCACTGCTGTGTTGTACCAAAATACAAGTTTGGCCATGCGTTGGGAAGGACCCTGCAGGTGGTGGCAACAGGCAGGGAAGTGAACTGCAAAGAAGTGAGAATTAGAACTTGGTTCAGATGGACTTTGTCAGCCTGGATCAAAAGTTGGGGAGTCTGATGCCAGCTGGTTTATTCCCAATAAGCATAAGCACAGTATAATCTGAAAAAATAATCCTGGTGTGACACGATCCCCACTGCACAGGAATCAGGGCTATTAACCACCTCTGCTCGTGGAGCTTGGGGAAGCCTCTGGCTATACAGATAATGTAAGGGTCACCTAAACTATTAAGTGTCTCTGGTCGGGGGAACTTGGAAAGCCTCTGGCTACATAGTTAACATCAAGGTCCTTTAAATCATTAGCCACTTCTAGTCCTGGTTATAGAAACTTGATACTGTCTCTCCCAACAGATAACACAGATCACCAGGATGTTAATCATCTCCAATTTCCAGCTTTCTGGATGAAAGAACATGTTTTATGGCCATTCCTTTGAGAGGACAATAATGTGTGCTTAACGTTCCTGGTTGCTGTGGAGATCTGTGGGTGCAAGGGCCTTTTGTGCTGTGGTCCAATAGTGTTCTGCCATGTCAGTGGTCCCAGCAGTTAACTACTGCATGGAAATTTATAGCTGAAGTATTTTCTGTATCTCAAACTGTCCTCCAGCATTTACTGCTGCTTGTTTGCGGAGAAGGCTGAAAGATGATGGAATAGGGAGAGATTTCTATTAGTTGATGAGAAGGGGCCCTGACCGTGCAAGCCTGACTTCCAATGACTTCTCCCTCACCTTTTCTTTTTAGTTTACCTGTGGTCATAGACATCCATGCTTTTCCAGGTACCTTTCTCTGTAAACAAAAAACAGTGATAATCTGAATTGCCTGTGGAGTCTTAGAATCAGTTACTTCGCCCAATCCGAGTTGTGCCCCTCAAATGTTTGTAAAGATCACCTGCCTCCAATCCTAATGTTACAGGCAACACTTGCACAGCTGAAGATAGCAAGCAGGATCTTCTCTCAGTTAAAATCTCCATGGTCTTTCATGGGTGGCAGAGCCTAGGTACTTGGGTGACTGTGATGTGCAGTACCATTCTGGCTAGTCTGCAGAATTCTGAGACTCGCCTGTGCATGAAACACAACACTGATTCACCTCAGGTATTATCACAGGAGGCAGGGCTGTAGGCTGAGACATCATTGGGCTTCCAAAAGTACCAGGCGGGGGGTGGAGGTGACATGGAGCTCGGGTGTGGGTTAACACTCGGTCTCCTCTGCTTCCTGGCTGGCTGGGTTTGTGCACAGGAAAACGGCTTCTCTGCATGACTGTGTCATAGCTGCTGGCACAGAAATAGGCAGCTGAGTCATCCCGCTCTACAGACTTCACATGAAGATTCAAATGGGCTTTATCCGGAGCCTGAGGTGAGAAGCGGCTTGGGACCGTTTCGTTTAAAATGCGTTGTTTATTATTGTAGCTGAACATAATCTTCAGCTCATAGTCTTGCTTGTACCAGAACATAGCATCGTGGCCCAGATTTTGCTCACACTTGAGAGACACGTCATTTCCCACCTGTGTGACAAGATATTTTGGGGTCTGGAGAACAGCCGTCTCCAAGGGGCCTGTGAAAAAATAATCAGATTTCAGGAAAATTTCAGAAGTAGTCACGCTCAAAGGACTTGAAGAGGATCATATCTCTGTGCCTAGGAACTCAGCTACTCACCTACTCCCAAGAGGCAGAAGGCCACATAGCTGAGGAGCTTCGAGCCCATGGCTGGGTCAAGGCAGGCCAGATAAGTTCCTACCTCAAGAGTTTTCCTGCAGTTATCAGACCGAGTGCCAGACTCCGCTATAGGCGACATGTGATTCATCTGTCTACGAAGAGCCAGAAGGGCAGTTGATTCACACACACACACACACACACACACACACACACACACACACACACGGGGATGGGTAAAGTGTAAGAAGAAGGAAAAGAAAAGAAGACAGAGACAGAAGCAGACTAAGTGAGACAGACGGAGAGAGGGAGATAGAGACAGAGAGGTAGAGTGAAACAAGAGACATAGACACAGAAAGAAAAACAAAAAAAACTTTGTTAGTACTATCAACTCTAAACCCAGGTGGCACAGGTGTGTTTCACTGAACACAGAATGAACATACAGATACATCAGTGAAGCATGTAAGAATAACTACAAGCCTTCCTGGAAAGTCAAATGTGACATACTTTTTCAGACGTACTATTTTGCCAAAACAGTGCAAAAATAACCTCATTCTTAGGATAGTAACATTCTGAAAGGAGAGAAAAGAATTGAATACAGGTGTGGGGCCTTAATGCCTATAATTTCAGTACTAAAAAGGCTGAGACTGGTTCACAAAGTGAGGACTAAGGCAGCCAGAGCTAGAGCAAGGCCCTACTTCACAAAAATAAATTTAGAAAATGTATAGATTACCTGTGGATCAACAATATGAAGTTCATAGTATATGGAGTCAGGAATTCATTTTTGAGCACTTTATGCAGCCTCCCATTTTCTCATCTGCCGAACAGTGGGCTGAAGTCGATAATTTAAAAATTCTGTGAGCCTTCATCAGTGCCCTTGGCACATACTATTTCAGCACATCACAAAGCTTACTTCTGAAGTGTTTCAAAGGATGAAGTAAGTAAGAAAAAGAGAGGGAGTGTGGAGGAGCAAAGCAAAGAAAGGGAGAAAGACAGTGGGAGGAGTAGAAAAGAAAGGAGAGAGGGAAATGGGGAGGGGAAAAGCTCGGTGGAGAACCAGGTGGAGGAAGAGAAAAAGGAGGGAAAATGATAAGAAAGAAAAGGAAACAGGAAGAGATGGTTGGGGTGAGCACAGCAAGGGAGAGGTCAAAATGTACTCATAGCCATGCAAAGAAGTGAGAACACTTGAAGTTGATTTTAAGTAATTGTTTATCCCACTATTTTCTGCAAATATTCTTGACACAATTAGGTGAACAACTCCTAGATATGATGCAGAAATCACCCTGACCTAAAGAAAGCTTTTTTTTTTTTTTTTTGTAGGAAGCAATGTTACTTCTAGGTACTGTTGAATATTTTTAAAAGATTTCTTTAAAAAGATGTTATGATTTTTCAATAATTGCCTGAAGGATAGGAGGAAACAAATATTGATGTAGCATTTCCTTCCTGATAGGTCTAGCCAAACCAAAGAAGAGGAGGCCAGAATAGAGAGAACCCAGAGCTGACCCTGCCATCCCTGGGAAAGGCCATACTTCATGAGGAAAGTAAAGGCGGGTTGAAAATGAAGCGATTTTAGCTTGGCTGTCACTTAAAAATAGAAACGCATAGGAGCACTGGGATGTGGCAGAAGGCTGGAGAAGAACCAGAACAAACAGGAAGTGAGCTGAATGGCAGCATGGTCCTCAGTTTGTCACTGATCCTGAATTTGGCTTTTTTAAAGCTCCTTATATTTGGCCATGATGGAGAGTGTGTGTCTCAGTGCGGAAAGCATCCGTGTTCTTCTGTTATATATATGAAATCATCCACCGCTGACCAAAACTTCCACTGTTGCTTTCGCTTTGAGTGACTTCCATCAGAAGTTCTCTGAGAAGTCAGGGACACTGCCGGTGGTACAGGGACCTGTGGAGATTCCATTGTCACACATTGCTCTGCCTTTCTGTGCAGGAGACAGCCTTTCTGTTCTGCTCAGGGTGGGGGTGATTACAGCGGCTCTGAGCAGGAAGAAAATAATCAACATCCTCACTGGCAAAAAAATAAAATAATAAAATAAAAGCCAACATGCACATTAACTCATGTGATCCTGTGCCAGCAGGTTTATCTACCAGTTTTTCAAGTAAAAATCCACACCAGACGAAGGGCACATTGCATTACAGGCCATTTGTCATTTACCTTTACAAATTATCCCTTGTTTTATAGTTAAATCAGCCTATTTAATTATTGAGTTCTCCTCGATCCTCTTAAAATGATTACATTTGTTATTTCTACTATTGTATGGATTGCTAAGCTTTTCATCTGGTTTCTTGAAAAGAACAATTAAAATAATTTGTAGTAATATGATAAATAGGTCCTTTTGTTAACTTTTAAAATGACTATATTTTCCCTTATTTTCATTTTTGGAAAATAGTTTTATTTTTATGTGAGTGCTAGTGAGAAAAATCTAAGAGATTCTAAATGTCCATGCCCTTCTCAGAATTAAATTTTAATTTTGATGTTATATGTGTGTGTTTGCCTTTACTAGTGTTTATAATTCTCAGCAGATTTTGAAATCAGCTTATGACACAGAGATAGGAGTAGGATTTCAGCTTAGAAAACTGAGTTGGCAATCTCCAGTATACATTTTTGTTTTGTTCTAAGATGGTCTATAAAACTAACCTTTCCAGTAAAGTGGATCGTTTTCCAGTTGACTTGGCTAGACTCTCACTTTGTGCAGTATGGTGGACTACATATGGCGGCATGGGCAGATATCCTAGAACTTCCTCCTGCTGCCTAGCAACTGCCCACAGAAAGTGTAATTTTATGACATTCCTGGATTTTCAAGAAGCGAGGGAAATTCCAAATGCTTTAAAGGTGAGGTAGAGCTTTGAGTAAAAACGCATTGTCTAAGAACTGTGCTCTAAATAGCAGTCAATGCCACCTGCTTTTTTTTTTTTTTATCTCTGGGTATCTTGATAGCATCAAAATTATCTGCATTTGGTCCCTACTTCCAGGGTATTTGTAGATAGAGATAGAATTTGAAAATGAAGTCCAAATGGAACTGTGTTCCTGCTATCTTTAGGTGCTGTTTCTGCTATTTTAATAGACCATAAGCCCAGAAGAGGTGTTTTCTGTTTTTGTGTGAATGTTCGTGCTCCAAGAATGGAGAGGACCCCCTCCCCCAATACACACACACACACACACACACACACACACACACACAGCAGATGAACAGCCGCAAGACACTGATGGTTTAATTCCTTGATGATGTGGAGTGAGAAAAATGGAAATGAGATTCTTAGTCTCTTTTGGCCTAATTAGTAGGTTTATGTCACCTGTTTTATCCTCAAGTATCCCAAGGATACTTACTGGTCTGCAGCATTCATTGCTGGGCACGAGAGCTCAAATCATGAAAGACGGGAGCAAACTAGACTTGGCTGAGCTCAGGCAGAAGCCTAGCTCCTAGAGCTGCATATATAGCTTTCTAATTCCATGCTGGGTCACATACAAGAAGTCAGCCAGGCCATTTGCTGGAACTTCAGTGCAAAGAGATGTCTGCCTTTACCCTCTCACCGGGCAGCACTGGTTCTCACCTTCTGCAGACCACGCTTTCCCATGCTATAATCAAGGCAGTTTTTCTTAAGGCTCTCAGTGACTTCTCTCAGGCGTTCCTTAGAGTAACGGCGCCTCCTTGTGGCCAGTGGATTGAAAAGCATGCTAACCTTGGTTTCAACAGGCAGTCTGTTTATGTTTGTTTCACAAATAGACATATTCCACCTCAAGGCTGATTTTGCAACCAAATGAAAGTCAATGTAAACTTCCCAACAATAGTAAAGACATTCTAAAAAGACTATGTCTCACTTTGGTTATCAGACGATTGAAACAATGGACTGCAGGACATTAGACTACTCCTGGAAATCATTCTGGGTCCACCAGAAGGTAAACTTTTCTTCCAGAAAGAGATTTGCAAATTGTCAGACTACTTTTCAGGAGGATAGAGCTAAAAAAAAGTGGTATACAGGACCACGCCTTGACTGATAGGGACTGCTCAGACATGCATACCTCTGGTCCTCTCTTTAAAACTAAAACTAAACTGCTTTTCAGAAGCCTGAAGATGGACTCAGGGTGTCCCTGGATCTTTCTCACCCTCTTCCCAACATAAGCACACTGAATAAACCCACCTTTTCTGCTGCTCACTGGTCAAAGAAAATAAAAGGAAAACAAAGCACACAAGACAAAATGTTTTAGAATTTCGCCTTTCTGTAACGTACTAAGGCAGGTGGATGGCAGAGGTCTCGGAGGGAGGGATACATGTAGGAGGAGAATCGCCATTGGTCGAAGGCTCTCCCATCTCAGACTGATTTCTCAATCGGCACCATCTGAGAAGGTGGTTCCCAGTGAGTAAGCAGGAAGGCAGGAACAGGGCGATCTAGGGGCTGACTAGGAAGAAAAGGGTCTCCTGGGGTGCTGTTAGAAGGGTGCCATTGTCTCTAAGTACCCTTGGCTTCAGAAGCACCTTTCCCAGGAAAAGAGAAAGAGCCATTGTCTGCAGAGGACACAAGCCTGACCCTAGCTCCCGGTCCCAGTCAACCTGAGACATAAGACAAAGCGCATGGTCTTAGGAGCGTGGAAGTAGGTAAGCTATGAAAGAAACGGGCACTCTCAAGAATCTTCCAAGCCTAAGAGTGCTAAGCCCAGCAACAGAGTCTGAAATGTAACTACTGGATAGTTGTTCTCTTGGTGACCATAATTTAAGAGAAAATATCTGATTCATGGATTCTGCAAATGATGTTTGAGTTCTCAATCAGAGAGTGTCTGTTCCACGTTTTCTGTTTGTCTTTGTGTGCTTTGTTTTCTTTTGTTTTAGGTGAGGGAGGCTCTATTGAATGAGAATGTCTTGATGCCCTGAAATGTTGGTCAGGTTTCAAATTTTATGCAACACATAGGAAACTGTCAATCAAATGTTCTGAACCAGAAGTCAACTGAGATCCTGCTAATAACGAAAGTAAAGACTTAACAAAACTAAGTAACATGTACCAGTATTCCTTAAGACTCTAAAGAGTAAGCATTCCCTCATGTGGAAAACAGGAATGATGTCTTCCAGGTCACCATGCCATATATTTTCTGAAGGGATTATGTGCTGGGACTTCAGTGGGGTAGCTAGAACAAGTGGCAGGAGGCCTAATTTCTTCCTTTCTTAAGGATGTTTTCCACCCCAAATGCAAAAATGCTAAAATGTACCTTGGCTTTCAGTGTCGGATCAGAATATTACAATGTTCACTCCAAAATCAACTAAAATAGTTCATTACAGCAGAAATCATTCACGTTTGCAGTCATTTGTGTGCAAAAGCAGTAAGAACACAAAAGACCAAAAATTCAGAGAAAATAGAACTCTTACAGAGATTTTCCTTTAAGAACATTTGCCAACTTAGCACAATATGCTAATTGGCCAAAGAGGGAGAAAATGGGGTGCTCTGAAAATCACCCAGTAGCTCTTGGATATGTAGAATGGCATTCAAATTCAGGGCTGCTTATCAAAAGGACCCTGGGAAAACCCCAGGCCTATGGACTGCAGATAGCCACAGGGGATTGCTGAAAATGAGTAGAAGGGAACTTTGAAAAGAATGAAAAGGTTTTACAGCTAGACCATGATGACACTGGCACAGCTCCACAGATTCTTTAAAGCTCATGGAATTATGTATTTGAATAAATACTATGTTACATGAATTTCACATCAATAAAGTGGCTAAATACTCAAACACTGTTTAAAACTTAAACCATTGTCCATGTAAGACAAGGTCTTAACAATGACCCCAGGGAAGGCCCACCTTCAATTTAACTCAGTTGCCAGCTTAATAAAGATGACCTGCCACTCTTACAACTTCTTTGCAGATTCAATCTCAAGCCTTTCAAGAGGAAGATGAAATCATCCAGAGCCTCAAATTGTCTCCAATTTTCCATGTGATCCAGCATTCTCATGTGTTACTTTTTCTATCAGGAAACAAAATAATATCATCCCAACCAAGACATGACAAACAGACAAAAAAAAAGTGGCTCAAACCAATGTAGATATTACAGTTAACAGACAATGGTTTTAAATAGCTAATGTTTTAACAAAATAAATACGATGAGAATTTTAGCAAACAACTTGAAACTGTAATCATGATCAAAATAGAAATTCTGAACTTAGTTATACTCATTGCCTAATATATACATTCAACATATTTGTTTTCAAAGAGAATGGGCAAGGCTTAAAATAATAGATAAGCTAGAAGAATAAGGTGAAACTATCCAAACCAAATCAGAAAAACTAAAAGAGGAAATTACAAATGAAAGCATGTTGTTTGGGCCATTGGTGTAGACAGGTGATTGGCCATCAATATATGATATTTTAGAGTCAGACGAATGAATGATCTGTCATGAATCTGTTCCACACATTTGGACTCTGCCTGAGTAAGTGCTTTCTAGGCACTACAATAACTCATGACAGCAACATCCTTGGGGGCAAAACAGCAAAGCACTGTTCCTATAGAGCGCGGGTCAGTCTCTCTACGGAATTGCTCCTCACAGTTGTGGTTGGCATTAACCAGTACAGTTGACACTTTTATGACATCTAAATCCTCAGGGCTTCAGGGCAGTGGTCAGCTTCAACAGCTACAAACACAGGGATTCATAGCAATAAATCTCCAAGCTTATACAGCCAGTGGTACTCAAGAGCATGGCTGATGCTCCACCAATTTCAGATTTCCTTAACCTTGCTCTGCTTTTGTATGGGTAGCTCCTTGCTCAGAGGGGTGGTTGCTAACCTTTATTAATTATGGCAGTGTTCCTCAACCTCCTTAATGCTGTGGCCTTTTAATACAGTTTCTCAAGCTGTGGTGACCTCCAGCCATAAAGTTATTTTTGTTGCTACTTCATAACTGTAATTTTGCTACTGTTATGAATCAGAGTGTAAATATCTGTGTTTTCAGATGGTCTTAGAAAAGCCGTGTAAAAGGGTCATTAGACCCCCAGAGGAGCCACCGCCCACAGGTTGACAACCACTGCCTTGTGGCTTTGATTCCTTAGGTACATCTACTTTTTCATACTGTGACCGATTAATTCAACAAAGTAACATCTATTACCAGACCATAAATTACAGAAACATGATTGAATTTACTCAAATCCAGATCAACCTTTCCTTTTCCTGTTCCCAATATGGAGCAGCAAATTTGTGACCACCTGTTATCTATTTTTAAAACTCTATTTATATAACATCTACTTACATAAACTTCATTTTTCATTCTCACCTTCTTACTTCCCAGGAAGAGAAACCAAAAATAAATAAATAAATGACCAGCCCAGCATAGTTTCACTTCAGAATCAATGGAATGCTATTGTCTTGTGAATTGCAGTGTCAATTTCTTCTTCTTCCTTCTCATAAATCAAAATTTCTCATCTGACAGATTTGATTAATACAGGGGCAGGAACTACACCTGTGGCCTCTGAGTCACAAGGGGGAGCAGTGATTAAGGGAACAGTGACCCTACTTTTACCTTATAAGTTAAAATACTTCATCAAAACAACTATTAATAAAAGAAACAAAGAGATTTCCAATGCAATTTAAATGGAGGGAAAAAAAAACATATGAGCACTTAGTTATTTGATGAGAGAATATTTGCTCAAGTTTATTTACCAGTCACACTCTGTGATGGCTATAGAAAATCTGTGTATCCATGGCTTCTGGCCATGCCTGTCTGAAATATCCTATCTTGGTCATTTGATTTTACATATTTATCTGTTTAAAACGAAGTGCAATTAAAAAAAAATACTCTGACTTCTTTCCCCTGGGAGAGATAGGGTGCTAGGAGAGAGGTAGACACATGAGGGTTTGTGTACAGGAAGGGGGTGTTACTGCAAGGCTGTGGCTAAGCTGCTGGCACAGAAGTACACTGCTGAGTCCTTCAGATTTGTGGGTTGTATCTTCAGAGTGAAATATGAACCATCTGGCCTTTCAACTGAAAACCGATCCTTGAATAGCTCAGACTTATCCAAAACTTTACCACTGTAGAAAGAAACCAGAAACTCCATCTGTTGTCCTAAGATCTGTTTATACCAATAGAAGTACAGGTGATTAGAAACAGGGTCACAACTGAGAGTCACCGTCTGATTCACATCTTTCACTTGATGACTTGGAATCTGCACGACATTGGGTCCTGTATGTCCTGTGGAAAGAGAAAGAGGATTAATGAAACACTTTAAAACTGTCTCAGTATAAAATGAAAATTGACTAGGATTCCTAAGAATCCACCTGCTTTCAGGAGACTAAAAATTATCCAGCACAGAAGCCAGATACCCATAGTAGAGTCACAGCAGGAATGTAGCTTTCCCTAGATGGAGGGCAGCAGAAACAGAAGGGCATACAAAGCTCCCGTGGTCCCACAGACAAGGTCTGACAGAGTTATCAGTGGGTGGCAATCGCTACCATCTCCAGACTGCCCTCTATGGGAGAAAGGGGCAAAACCTACTATCATGTAAATAGCAGACACCCCAGTGTTCAGAATTCTGTTCTGCCTATGAGATCTGAAGCTGTGTACAAGACAGAGGGCCGTTACTAGGAGTAATCAGAGGGAATGAAGAGTTCAGCAAAGGAGGTTCTGAGAATTAAGTCTTTCTCAGAAACGCCAGGTGGTTTTCTCTCTTTGTTACTGTGGTGAGCAGCAATTCAGCGGTGTCAGACACTACAACCAACAAAACAGAGTACAAAGATTCAGCAAAAGGATTAAAGAGATGTAAGGAAAGACTCAAGCGTGAAAGTGTTAAAAAAATTGAAAGAGAAAAGCAAGAGTTGTGAACCTGCCCATAAGCAAGGAGTATAATTAAACAATAGTATAGATCAAATGAGGAGTGATTACCCTGCAATATAGAAACTCAAAGAGCCCTTTGTGGAGGGTTTGGAGTGTCTTGGAAAAGGTATGAGCCATCTTGGAACTGGAATGAGGGCTGAGGGTACAGGCTCTTCTTGAAAAGAAAACTCATATAAGGGTACGTAATGGAACAGGGTTGGTGAAGAGAGTTAAGTGTTTCATAAACAGGGCTACAGACCCTTTCAAACATCTTAAACTGTGCTTGTCGGTCCCATATTCAACTGTAGACCCTGTTTTACTCAAGTCAAAGAGCTGTTCGAACACGGAATTATGATCCCTGTGCTGCTCAGACATCATTTAGCAGGTGCTGTTGTGGTCTGTGGTTCCTGCTTGAGTCCTCCTGGGCTACTGAAGCGAGTCTTAGGGCTCGGTGGACCTGTTACGCCAGCAGTTTCCTGGAAAGACGGAGGAGGTTTGTGTACAGGGCGACAGGAGCTCTGCAGGACTGTGTCTTGGCTGCTAGCACAGAAGTATGTGGCCGAGTCATCAGGCTGCAGGGCTGTGATCTGAAGGTCTAGGTAGGATTTCTCTAGATTGTGAGGTTGGAAGCGATTTGTGAGAGTCTGGTTTTCAAATAGTTTTTGGTAATTATATGAAAACATGAGCTCTAGGGACTGCGTAGCACTTTGTCTGTACCAGTACATAGCATTGTGTCCTTGATACTGTTCACATATCAGGGTCCTTTCACTCCCCATGACTGTCACCAGATGTTTTGGTTTCTGGATAATTCTAGGGTCCACGGGACCTGTGGGAATAAGAAAACAAGTTTAATCATCAAGAGAATTATAAAAGGATGCTCTATGGAAAATACAGCAGTGTATGGCCAAGGTAGGACTCACCTGCCACCAGGAGACAAAGAGTCAGGCAAGCATAGAGGCTGGAGCCCATGGCAGAGTCACACAGGAGGGATCTATGTCTCCCTCTTTAAAGAAGGTTTGCTGCGGTGCTTCTTGTTCCTGGAGGTGGCTTCAGCTCACACCTTCCCTTTGCACTCTATGCTTGTTAAAGGCTGACCATGCATACATTGGCTTTCAGATACAGACCAGGCCTGGCTGACTCTCGGGGCTTCTCAGACAGTTTATTGCACAAGCAAATAGTACTCTCTTTGTTCTTTCTGCTTTGTAGTACCTCCCCTTCACCCCCCTCCACACAGATTCACTTCCTTTGGATAGACAGCCTTCCTTCTGTCTGTCATGGACCCAGATCAGGCACACCCAGGCTTTCTTTCCTTCATCCTAAGAAAGGCAGCCTCATTGCTCATCAGAGTCTTTTCTGAAGCCAGCTGTATATCATTTCAAGACGGAGTAATTTAATGATAACTAGGTAAAAAAGCACCCCAGTGAGTGCTGAGAGAGGAAGTCTTCAAGCGCCAGAGCCAGGAGGCCTTCGGGAACAATTCCCTATGGGTTTGGGAAGTCCTGGTGTCTTTGAGCTCTATCCACACCATGTCTCAACCCAAACAAGAAGCAAAGCCCAGCAAAGCTTTATTTCCTGCCCAGCTGCCTTCCCATCCTCCCTTCCCACCACCCCCATCATCAGCCTCAAGAGTTTTAGCGAAGTCACAGCGCCCCCTAGAGGATAAACAAGCACATTACTCTCCCCCGACCTCATTTCCCTCATGGTACCTGAGTTTAGAACACACAGAAAGATTAACAAAGCGTGTGGAGGCAGGGTGATTCGTAGACTAAGGAAACATTTGAAGCCCCGATGAAAGATGTACCTCCTGCAAGCATCAGCTATTGGCAGAACTCCCAAAATTAGTCAAGAAGTCCCCACTGAGCACATTCCCGCTTACTCTCTATTCACATAGGAACAAATGATGTTCTTCCTTCTGAATTCTGATGGCAGGGATTACAATGCACACTAGAGGAAAATCTAAATGTAATTTTTTTAGACATCTAAATAATTCCACCTTATCTCCTTTGAAAGCTGGATGCGGGTAAAGGCTGGAATAATTTTTTTTTGCAGCCTTTTGCCAAACATCCAAATTGTTAGAGTAAGCTTCTGCCAACATGTCCAGCTCTTCTGTAGCAGGAACTCCAATTCCATCTCAGTGCTTTACAGGGTATGGGTGGTTAATTGTGCTTCCTAGTGGCTGAAGAGGTGAGTGCAATGAAAAATAATAAAAGACCACATGTAAACGTAACTCTAAATACTTTAAAGAGTGTTCCCAGTGCTGGCACTGTGATATTGCTTATTTATAGTGGCAGTTTTGCATACATTGAAACTGTAGTCTCAAGATATAAGACTGGAATGTAACTGACTAAAATAAATTTACCTGGCATCATTTGAACCCATGTACTTTGAAGGTGGTCATGGAACAGTAGCTCATCAGTGTCAAGCATTATTTAAAGGAGCTATGAGGAGCTATGGATTTTTTCTTCCTTCCTTTTTTATTTATTTTTGGCTTTTTGAGACAGGGTTTCTCTGTGTAGCCATGGCTGTCCTGGAACTCACTCTGTAGACTAGGCTGACCTCCAACTCACAGAGATCTGACTGCTTCTGCCTCTCACATTCTGGGATCAAAGGCATGTGCCATCACTGCCTGGCAATATTTTCTTTCTTAATTCTGCCTTCTAGTCAGAATCCCCTAATTCTTTGGTTGCTTTATGAAACAAAATGTTTCCCACATTTTCTCTTGCTAAGTTTTATATTTCTTACTTATCTGAAGAGAACTCCTTTCTTTGCCAGGTTATTTAGGAAATGGAGTGTGACCTCTAGATATGTTTTTGGGGTATGACACTGTTCTCAGGACATTGGAGTAACTAAAGTAGGGCACATGCACAGGATACAGACAATAGCACATATGTACATGTGATTCTAATGCTCTCTATGTTGATAGTGAAAAGCTGGGAGGTTACTAATATTTCCATTCTAGTTCTGGCATTCTTTCCATGTCTGCAGCTTTCTTAGGCAGTGCTGAGAAACTTGGCATCTGCTGTTCTTGATAGGGTTACATATGTGGTCACCTTCTGCATGCAGCCAGCTGAGTATTTCAGCTCTCCCCCTCTCTCACCTGCTAGCATCCTCCCTATCCTGTTCATGCTCTGAATTCTCAAGCCTGAAGAGCAGTATGTAGAAGGCCTCCTCATTCTGGCCCAGTTTTCCACACCCAACACAAGACTTGTGTTGCCTATATGACTGTCTCCATCTGCTGGGGTTTCAACAGCCTGCATGAGATTGCCTCAAGTGCCTCACTTTTACTTTAGCACCAGCTTCAACTGGGGATATCCTCTTCACTTTATATCAGTGGCTTGTGACATCCTTGGGGAGCCGAATGACCCTTTCACAAGGCTAGCCTAAGACCATCAGAAAACACAGATGTTTACAATACAACTCAGAACAGTAGCAAAATTACAGTTATAAAATAACAAAGAAAACACTTTTATGACAATGGATCACCACAACATAGGAACTGTATTAGAGGTTTGCAGCTCTAGGAAGATTGAGGACCACTGTTTTATATGGTCTCCATCTCCTTGTCCAGGACCCTATTCTACACAGACACAAATAAGTGCTTTCTTTAGTCCCATGACAAAATGATTTTTTATTTTTTATTTTTTTAATTAATTACACTTTATCCACTTTGTATCCCCCCATAAGCTCCTCCATCCTCCCCTCCCTGTCCCACCCTCCCTCCCCCTTCTTCACGCATGCCCCTTCCCAAGTCCACTGATAGAGGAGGTCCTCCTCTCCTTCCTTCTGATATTAGTCTATCAGATCACATCAGGAATGGCTGCATTGCCATCTTCTGTGGCCTGGTAAGGCTGTTCTCCCCTCAGGGGGAGGTGATCAAAGAACAGGCCAATCAGATTATGTCAGAGGCAGTCCCTCTTCCCATTACTATGTAACCCACTTGGACACTGAACTGCCATGGGCTACACCTGTGCAGGGGTTCCAGGTCATCTCCACGAATAGTCCTTGGTTGGAGTATGAGTCTCTGGGAAGACCTCTGTGTTCAAATTTTCTGGTTCTGTTGCTTTCCTTGTGGGGTTCCTGTCCTCTCCAGATCTTACTATTTCCCACTTCTTACATAAGATTCCCTGCACTTTGCCCAATAGTTGGCCATAAGTCTCAGTGTCTGCTTTGATACTCTGAAGAGCAGAGCCTCTCAGAGGCCCTCGGTGGCAGGTTTCTATGATTTTTTTTAACTGACAATGTGCTTATCATGTAATTCAAAACAGCATTAATGTTATCAGAGCGTTTGCCCAACCCCACATGCTCCAGAGAGATCTTCCAAGGGTGATGTTGGTGGTGACAACCACCAAAGATGCACATGGCCTTCTGAGCCCTTTGTATTTCTCTGTTCATTTTCATTCACCCTTTTCTTTAGGAAGCAGCGTTGATTTCTTGATACTGAAACCTCTAGAATCTTGCCCTCCATCTTGACCCCTTTGTGCCTTTAAAAAAGTACCTTATCATGTGCATTTGATCCTCATTAGGTCACAGGCTTACTTCGGCCACTTCCTTTCTGTCCTTCCTGGCACAGCCTCATCCTCACTTGCCAGTATCTGCGAATCACCTTAAATAACTTACATACAGGTGACAAAGTGGATAGGCAAAAGCCCAGGAGGCATCAACACTGCACAAAGAACCACGGGCATCTAAGGAATGCCAACAGCAGGAGAAGCAGCCTTAGGGAAGAGCACAGCAGTTGGTTATCCAATACCAAATGGTTAGCCCTGAAAACATGCAGACAAATAACATCATGCAGACCAATCAGGTTATGTTTAAGATTATATATGTACACACGCATATATACTATACTAAGTGCATGTAAGAATGACTAGTGATAAAAGAGGCCATGGGTTTCAAAGAGAGCAAGGAGTAGCATATGGGAGGGTTGAGAGGGAGGAAAAGGAAGGGAGAAATGATGTAATCATATTATCTCTAAAATAAAAGAAATAATAAAACATTTTAGGAAACATGTTCATGTATGTTCTCCTTGCTGACAGCATCAACTGCTCCTGACACACACCTTAAGCCCACAGCTTGCTGCTCACTGCTTGGTTCTTTGAGACTGGATCAGAGAGGTGTGAATATCGCCAGGTGTGAAAATCTTCTAATCACCACCCACTCATGCCCAGACTCCAGGCCTCAGAACCACAGTTAGAAGCCAAGACTGCCCTGAACTATGTTTCCCAAAGACTCTTCCTTACTATATCCTGGTCACCAAACATGTTGACTCTGTTCAAAGTCACTGATTGTAAGGAACACTAAGTGGACATAGGGCAAACTTAAATAATGTCTCTTTAAAAATATATAGGCTGTACATTTTTGTACAAAATTCACATCAAGTGTGAAATTTGTAGATGGGCAACTGGGACTAAAGTGAAGCAACCTAAAAAGAAAGTACACACACACATAAACACACATACAGTATGGCATACAGATGATGTCAATCAATAAGGAATAACTTTCTGTCTTTAGCATTGAGAGGGCATTTTGGAAAGCAATAGTTAAAGAACATAATTTGGAGAAGAGATGTTTATGTCAAGCCCTGTAGCATAGCCCTACACCAACTTCTCTCTGTTTGGGGACAAAGGCAGAGGTTTACAAAAGGTTTCACTCTGTAGTTCAGTCTAGGCTGGAACTCACTATGTATCCCAAGCTAATCTCAAACTCAAAGCAGTCCCCCTGCCTAAGCCTCCAAAATGCTGGGATTATAAACATGATCCACCATACCTGGCTTTTTTCTTTAAACAAATTCTGTTTTCTAAAAACTATTTCTACTACCTATAAAGAACCAAATTCTAGACTTGCTTGCTCTGGTTGGCATGCTGCTTTCCAGCAGTGTGAAGCAAATTTTAAGGGTACTTTTGTGATTTCTAGCTAAATAAGGAGAAAAAAATGTCTTTGCTGGGTTGGTAGTTTACTTATCTTGACTC